CGGTGAGGAAAACGGGCGGCGCAAGAGGGCAGGACGAGAGGGCATCTGTGTGGATGCCAGTGTACACATGGGCATTTGCAGACTGGTGGCAAGTAGGCACCGCGGGCCCATTGCTCGTTCAATGTATGAACTTCCTGGAGCGATGTGACTAGCAAGGAAAGGTGTTAATAGATATATATCGCTCACCTTCGGTTTTCATCTCTCTGCTTTTCTTTCGTTCATCACTCCCCTCGTCCTACCCGCCCCTCATCCTATGACCTTCATCTGTGCTCATTGACGTTGCGCTCTGGGTTGTACTCGAGCTTCTCGCGTTCCGGGCTGTGGATTGGTACGATGGCGGTAAGTTGAGTGTGGTTGAGCGGTGTGCAGTGTGGTTGCGCGCGAGTGAAGTTCTAAGCGCCTGCTCTCTCCGACGCGGGCGATTGTCGCAGACGCTCGCATACATAAATGAGCGAGCCCATGAAACGGTCGGATGAGTAGACGGACAGATGAGCAGACGAGACGAAAGAACGGGCGGATGAATGAACGGGCGGATGAATGAACGGGCGGATGAATGACCGGGCGGACGAACGGATGGGAGTTCAATATAGCTTTCCCGGTATTCCGATGCATGAGTAGTCCAAGTGTTTGACGGTTGTAGTACTTAATGATCTTGTACTGTAGTATTCAATACAGTCCGGCGGTCACGCATCACAAGGCCCCTCGCCACACCGGTAAAGGACCCTTGTCACGGGTCACTGAGGGTCCCGCCGGTTGTGACAAATGCACAAAAATTTGGCCGCATCCGGCGGCGGCTTCAGCACTCGTTTCGACGACATTTATAGCCCATCGACGCTCAGCCGCACCGTCTGCACTGTCTTTGTCACACGTCACCGTCGCTCGTGCCGCGCTGCCTTGAGGTACTTGTGCAGGTAAATCAACGGATGTAGGCTTTGGGAACTTAGGAATCAGTTGACAAGACTGACGAATAGTTCTCAACGGCACGATCTCCCCCGCTGAAGTCCCGTCCGCTCTCAGCGGCATCTTCTGCACGTCGTACATCATGTGTATTGGGTCCGCTGAGGCAGGGAGCTTGGCGAACCACTCGACGTAGGCCAATGGACCTTCATTGGCCCATTCCTCAGGTGCCTCCATCTCAGCCATCGTCCCATGCTGGCGAATCTTCGAAGGGAGGCGGAAAATCACCTTCACCCTCCCTATCCTAGTACCTAGAGTTTTCGCAGCATGTAAGCATGAAACGTAAGCATGATCTGATATTGTGAACTCACCTTGGAGTCCTGTTGCCTCCGCTTCATCGCCCTGTAACACCACCACAGTGTCAAATCGCGCTGCGTCGGTACCGCAAGCCGGTTTGGCTTTGACAGCGTCGCGTTCGGGCTGAGCGTCGGTAAGTGGAATTGTAGTGAACTTGAAGGTATGGTAGACGTCTAGACGTGAGAAGGGTAGGTACGAGCTTGCCTTGTCCAGCTCCGTAGGAGTAAGTCGATGGCCGAGTTTGAGTGAGTACACGTATTGATTGAGCGCTTTGGTGAATCCGCGAGCACGATGTCTGTCCACGATGGACAGAATTGGTTGCTGGACGACGGACGGATGCTTGGGCATCATGAGCCCAGTTCTGGGACGGTGAGGGTGGGGTTCTGGAGGGACGCGAGAGTCGTCGGTGTTGCAGGAGTCCTCTCGAAGCCTCTGGCGAAGCGTCTCGAACATCGCAATTTTTTCCTGGCGATCCAACCACTTGACCATTTGCAGTCGTGCGTCGCGATGATTGGATGCTCGCCACGCTTTTTTTGCGCAGTTGATGTGCAAGCGTTCGAACATCTCGGTATTATAGTTGTCAGTAGTTCCTAGATTACGAATAGAGTCAATGTAATGGTGTAGGGAATGGAATTTGGGGATGTCGAGGTGCTCACGGATGCCGAGGGTCTTCAAGATGGATTTGTGCTTGTGGTAGGTCTTCAACGTGTTGTCCATGTACGACAGGGTCGTCTCGTTGTGCGTCGGATACTGCGCTAAGTAGATGAAATCGAGGAGCGGCGGAAGGTGTGGATGACAGCGCTAGGGACCCGACCTACAGACACCCCAGAAGAATGCGGGCCATGTCTTTGCGCTCGCTGCCGGACACCTGTGAGAGCGAGGAAATCCCGTTCTTGAAATGTCGAGTTCCGTACGCGGGCGGAAGACATCGGATACGGGCGTCGAGCTCCTTCTCGTCCATAAGTTCGCTGCACCATTCGACAATGTGCTTGAAGACGCCCTGGTAGAGCTGGTGGAGGACGTCGGGGGTGATGCACATATGGATGTCGGTATAGGGTAGGTCTTTCCAGAAGGGCTCGAGGACGTAGCCAGAGACGTTAAACTCTTTGCACGCGTTGAAGAACGGTGCCGAGCCCTTCGTTCCTTTCGCCTTCACCTTGCGTAACACATCAAGCATCCATATCTGGCGACGTGGAGTTCTCGGTGCGTCTTCCCCAAGACCGGACTCGGGACACTGACAAATGCTGCACGTACCGTACTTGGCGCAAGTCACCAAGCATTGCTCGGGATAGTCTGCTACGTACGATGCGAGAACGGGGTGAACACGGCGAACCTTTCCATCGCCCCCGGTAACGTCAATCCCTGTTTTCCCAGCCTCGATCAGAGGCTTAAGAATCATCTTGACAGATGAGTGGAACAGCTGCTGGACCAGAGCGCGATGCTTGCGATCGGTGAGCCCAGTTGCGTCCACCTTGTCTACAGACAAGTAACCTATCAGCACGCATGCGTAGTGCATTGCACGGGTAAACCCCCGGGTGTCTGGGGGCTTACCCGTACCCGTACCCGCCGGGTACCGTACCCGCTTCACGGGTGCGGGTCACGTGCGGGTACCGCGGGTCTGCGGGTCCATGCGCGGGTGGGCGAGCAATAGGTGGGTGAGTGGGGTAGTGTGCAAGAGGGTGGGGAGGCTTGCGCAGGCGAGCGGGCAAGCGAGCGAGTGTGCGGCAAGCCGGTGGGTCAACGGTGCACCCGTTGTCCTCGCTGCCATGCCCCCACCCTCCATCCTCCTCGCTCGCGGTCCTCCGCACTCGTGCTCGCGCGTTCCTGCCATCCGCCCGCGCGTCCCCCGACAGCTCCGCACCCGCAGACGGGAGCGTCCACATGCTTCCCGTCTGTACGTGCCGCCCGCCCGCCGTTCCGCCTTGTTGGTGTGCCCACCCTCACTCGTCCTTCGCTCGCCCGTTTGCCCGCCCAACGTTCATCGGCCATGTCTGCGTGCTGGGCATTCGCCCAGCACGCTCGTGGCCGGTATGCGTGTGGTGCGCGTCCGCACCGTGTCCCCGTCCGTGCCAACTGGCGTGCCAGCTCGTTCTCCCGCCTCGCGGCGCGCACGTTTGGTGGCCGTGTCTGCGCGCCGGGCATTTGCCCATCGCGCTCGCGGTTGCCGTGCGTGTCGTCGCGCGTTCCGGCTTGCTCATCCGCTTGCTCGTCCGCTTGCCCGTCCGCTTGCCTGCCCGCCTGCCCCTCTCCCCGCCTGCCCGCCCGCCCCTCTCCTCGCCTGCCCGCCCACCTTCCCGTATTTCTGCTGACCGTGAGCTCTCCCATTTGTCCGCTCGTCCGACTGCTCACCTAGGCGTTCACTCTTCCGCGCGCTCGTCCGCCCGCCCGTTTGCTTGCATGTGCGTTCGTCGGCCGTGTCTGCGCGCTGTGCACTTGCCCAGCGCGGTCGCGGTTGCCGTGCGTGTCGTGCTGCACGACGCCGCGCCCTGTGCCCACCCCTCCCCCGTTTGTCTGCTCACCTACCTGCCTGTTGGTCCGTTCGTCTACCTGCCCGCCCGCTCGACTTCCCGCTTGCTGCCCGTCGTCCCACCTTCCAGCTCCCCGGCGAGCTCCATCCACTCATGCACCCGTTCACCCGATCACCAACCCGCTCTTCCGCCCACTCTCTTGCAGGCCCCTCCGACTCTGTGTCCACACCCGCAGCCTACGTACCTGTCCACAGGCTCGCTAGCCCACCCGCTCGTTTTGCGCGCGTTCGTCGGGTGCGTTTGCGAGCTGGGCAGTTGCCCAGCGCGCTCGCGGTTGACGTGCTGTCGCTCGTCCGCCCGCCGCCTGTTCGTCAGCCGTGTCTACACGCAGAGCATTGGCCCTGCGTGCTCGCGGTCGTCGTGCGTGTCGTGCTGCACGTCACCGCGCCCTGTACTTACTGTTAGTAAGCCCACTCGCGGTGCCTGGACTCACCTGGTACTCGTCCTCGTCCTCGCCCTCGCCCTCGCCCTCGCCCGTCCGCTCGTCCTCTACGCCCGCCGTCCATTCGTCGTCCACGCCCAGTGCATCGCTTCGTGGCTGCGTCCAGGCCCGCGGTGTTCGTCGGTTGCGTTTGCGCGCAGGGCCCTTGCCATAGGAGTTCGCCGCGCGCGCGCATGCGCAGTGTTGCGGTGCCTGAGGCCGTGCACGAATCGACCTGGTAGAGGGAGAGGGAGCAGAGGCATCCCCGCGAGTTTGGGCGCTCGCGGGGTTGCCTCTTTTGGCAATACCCACACGGCTGCAGGGCGGGTATGCGGGTACGGAAATCGCTACCCGGACCCCTACCCGCGAGTACCCGTACCCGTGACCTGCGCGGGTTGGCCGTACCCCTGCAATGCACTAACGCATGTGTGTTCCGAGGGCTTACGTTGCAGAGCCTTCGGGATGTTGCCTAGGGTCATATACACCGGGTAAGCCGATTTGTTGCCTGTGAACTGTGTGAGCT